GGGGGGCGGGGGGTTGGCTGGCAGCTAGTTGCCCCTTATTAAGGGCTTTGGGGATGGATGGGTCAATGAGGCGCGAGGGGGCAGCCGGAGGAGAAGAGAGAACAAGAAGCTTGAGAGGAGGCAGAAGGCAGATACCGACCATTCACAGGTTTGCTCCCGCTAGACCCCCTGGCTTTGGCGCTGACACACCCGGTTATCCCGAAATGAAGTCTGCTTTTGCCCCCCAGAGGCCGGTGGGGGGGGTGCCTGTGGTCTCCTCGCCTTCCTGCATTACCCAAGAGGCACAAGTGAGCCCAAACCTTCAGAGTGCTGCCTGTGGCCACAGCCGGCTGGAGAAGACCCCTGCCCTCCTCCCCCCCCCTTCGGTGACCATTCCCCCCTCCCCGTGTCTCTGAGAGCCGGGCCCCCCACCCAAGCCCTGTGCTGGTTGACTGTGAGGCAAAGTGGGGAAAGCAAATCCCAACAAGGCTCACCGCTGCTTCCTGCACCACTTGTGCATCCGGCAGCGTGAGCCACCCCAGGCGCCGCGAAAAGGATTCCAGGGATGCAGCGTTGTCGGTGCCCTTGGCCTTTGGGGGTAGCTGGGCTGAGCCCGGGGCAGCTCTGGTCACAAGAAGCCTCTTCCTTCTTATCCCCGTGTGCTAGACAAATATTTTCTGTGCGTGCCGTGACATGAAAAAGGTTGATCAATCCTGTTCAATGCTATCTAGTAGTTCTGGTCAGGTACCGGGGCGCCTGGGTGGCTCAGTTAAGCATCTGACTCTTCGTTTCGGCTCAGGTCACCATCTCAGGGTTCCAGGAGCTCAAGCCCCGCGTCAGGCTCTGCACTGACAGCTCAGCTTGGAGCCTGCTTCGCATTCTGTGTCTCCCTCTCTCTCTGCCCCTCCCCTGTGCGCTCTCTCTTGAAAATAAATAAACATTATTTTTTTTTTTTTTTAAAGCTTTTTCTCCTGTCTTAAAATACGGCAGGGGCTTTTTTTTTTTTTTTTTTTTTAATCCCCACTTTACAGGGGAAGAAACCAAGGCGCAGCAAGGTCAAAAGACCTACCTGCCACAGCGCTGTCACAGACAAATCTGGCAAGGGTAACTGGCTTCCTAAGAACGGGAAATCGAGAAAACCCAGCCTCTGGGAGGGCAACCGGCTGAGGGACAAGCCCTCTGAGGCTGTCCGGCCACCAGTGCGTTTACACTGTGCCCACAAGGGGTCAGTAGGTTCCGTGGGAGCCGAGACCCACAGAATGGAAGGTGGAGCCATCCCCCCATCGCAGCCCCGCCTCCAGGCTGCACCGCTGCTGCCTCGAAGGAACGTCCTGGAAGTGCCTCCTCCCCGACAGGCCTGGGGTTGTGACTGGCCAATGGCGTGCTTACCCCAGGAAGGCTGGGGAAGTTCCCACGGGCCACGCCTTTGCTTCTGGCCAGTCCTCCGGATGCCAGCAGTCCTCTGTGCTGGGCAGTGCCTGTAGCCGAGGCAGCTGGCACATATGCCCCCTGCCCGAAGGGCCGCAGCCGTTTCCACGGGAATAACTGGAACCAAAAATATCACAGGGCTGGGTCTGTCCGGCCAGAACCTTCCCGGGTGGGGGAGGTCGAGAGCGGGAGAGACTTGAAGAACCATATGTAACGTAGCACGTCCAAGATTTGGAGCCAGACCTGGGTTTGGATCCCGACTCTTCCTCTTTCTATCAACCGTGACCTTGGACGGGTTACTTGGCTTCCCTATGGGTCAGTCTCCTAATTGGTAGGACAAGGAAGAAAAACGCCTTTCAGGATGATTCTGAGGACCTCTTCACTCCTTTGACAAATACTGCCAAGCTTCACCTAGGCTCGCCACTAGCTTCAGGGCATGTGACGCCGCTTGGATTCAGTGCCTGGCACATAGCAAGTGTTGAATCACGGATACCTTCTCTTTGAAGGTCAGGCCATGAATCTGGACTCGAAATAGGCAGTTGGAGGCATGCCGAACGGAAGCAGGAGGAAAAACCACTGGGGGAAGGCTCCACTCATATCTGCACAGTGTGGAGGTGGGGTTGAAAAATGCCAGCCTGGGGGCGCCTGGGTGGCTCCGTCGGTTGAGCATCCGACTTCGGCTCTGGTCGTGATCTCACCGTTTGTGAGTTCAAGTCCCACCCTTTGTGAGTTCCGATCCTTTGTCTCCCTCTCTCTGGAGGGAGGGAGCTCGTGCTCTCGATCTCTCTCAAAAGTAAACATTAAAAACAAAAATCCTGTAGGGGCGCCTGGGTGGCTCAGTCGGTTGAGCGTGTGACTTCGGCTCAGGTCATGATCTCACGGTCTGTGAGTTCGAACCCCGCGTCGGGCTCTGTGCTGACGGCTCGGAGCCTGGAGCCTGCTTCGGATTCTGTGTCTCCCTCTCTCTCTGCCCCTCCCCCTCTCATGCTCTGTCTCAAAAATAAAAACATTAAAAAAAAATTTTTTTTTAAATGCCAGCACTGTTTTCCACAGCATCATAAAATACAGGCAGAGCAAGAGGCTTACACTCATCCCGAGTTGAGCCCACACTGCAGTTGGGGACAGGAAGTGGGGGGGTGCGGCCGGGGAGGCAGAGCCGAGAAGAAGCTTCCCGTCTGCTCTCTGGAAGCCGCTGGGCTTCACGTTGCAGGTCACCTTGCCCACCTTTGGGTGGTGGTTTCAGGATGTGGGGAGAAGGGGAGGGCACGCATGTGCCGCAGCAAGGACTCGAGCCCGGGCATTTGAAGGACGGGAGAACACAAGCGTATGGAAATGCCTCACTGTGGGTGAGGCCCCGGTTCCTCAGACTCAGACAAGGGCATCAGGGGATAAGAAGACCCTCGAGTCCTTTTAGCCAATGAATGTATCCACTTCGTTGAGTTTAGTCATGAATGTAGCCATGAATTTGTCCGATGCTGCTGCGTTTCTGTTCGGTCCGCCCCATCAACTGGAATGTTTTCCACACACTTTTGCTTCCTCCTGTAGAGAAATCCTTTTCTTAAAAACACGCCTCTCCCTAGCGTCACGTGATGCCATCTTCTGGTACATCAGACTCACCCCCTAGATTGCAGGCATCTGTACCACCAGCAGCCCCCAGCCAGCAAAGCTGATGAAGGAGGTCTAGAAGAGCCCCTGGAGATCATTTCCTGCATTAGCCAACTGAGGATCGGAGAGGCGACGTGACTTGTCAAAGGTCTCACAGCCACCAAGTGGTAGGGAGAAAGAAATTTCCCAGGGCGCCCCGGTGGTTCAGCTGGTTGAGCGTCCCGACATCGGCTCAGGTCACCATCTCACCGTTCGGGGGGGTTGAGCCCCGTGTCGGGCTCTGCTCCGGAGCCTGCTTCGGATTCTGTGTCTCCCTCTCTCTCTCTGCCCCTCCCCCACTCACACTCGGTCTCTCAAAAATAAATAAACATTAAAAAAATTGTTTTTTTTTTTTCAATTTTCGTAGGTTTCTAGTCGGGAGACTGGTCTATGTCGCCCCCCCCCCCCAAGCCAAATGGCTTCCCATTTGGGATGTCCTTTGCTGGACTTCCCTGATTGCCTTTCCTCTCTGCCCTGGGCCCCAATTTCCTTTCGTTCTGTCCTTATGGGCACAGTTGGCAGCTAGGCCAAAGGGGTTTGTCGGGTGGTGGAGGCACCAAGCTAGCTTAGGCTACCTTCTACAGAGCCAGCGTCCAGGAAGCAAAGCCGTGGACCTTCCTGTCAGGTGCCAACATGACGGGCTAGAGCCAGAGTCCTTCCAGGGCCAGACTGAGGGTGAAGCAAGGAACCTGTGGAGAGGGGATGTTCTAGGCTGAGGACCACAGGCCTGGGTTTCCTGTCGGGGCCATCTCTGGGCACTATTGTGAGGAAGTTAGATCGAAGTTATCGAAGAACTATTCGGGGTTGGTTTTGTTTTGTTTTGTTTTTTCTATAAGATTTTATTTTTTTTAAGTAACCTCTGCACCCAACATAGGGCTCGAACTCCCAACCCCGAGATCAAGAGTCACATGCTCTACCGACCCAGCCGGCCAGGTGCCCGAGAACCATTCCTTTTTTTTTTTTTTTTTTTTTCAAGAAGAGTTGACTAAGCAACTTCTACAAGCCAGGCGCCGACCAGGTGAATGAGAAGGGCAAAGTCTCTACCCACCTTCATGGACCTGATAGCCTAGTGGGATCCCCATCCAGTTGGTTTTTTCAGAAGACACATACATGATTCTTAGTCATGTGTCCGTCCTCTACGGCGTTTTAGTTAGCGTTAGAGTACCTCTCGGACCTTTGAAACTTGGGTTTCTGATGCCAAAGTACTTCTGAGCCTTGGGCTTAACCAGTGGAGCGTTGGTAAATGTTTAACGACCTGCTCTCTGGGGAGAAGTGTATGCATGTATACATGTAGCTAAGTTATTTATAAATTTTACTGGCATAAAGTATGTGGCACACACATTACATATAATAGTGAAAACACACAATATTATTAAGTTATTGATTATTAAGAAATTAATTTTAGGGATGCCTGGGTGGCTTCGTCGGTTGAGTGCCTGACTCTTGATTTTTGACTCAGGTCATGATCCCAGAGTTGGGGGATCGAGCCCCGTGTGGGGTTCCACACTGAGCATGGAGTGTACTTGAGATTCTCTCCCTCTATCCCTCTGCCCATCTCCCCTGCATGCATGCTCGCTCTCTCTCTTTCTCTAAAATAAAATAAAATACATATAAAATAAAATAAAATAAAATAAAATAAAATAAAATAGGGATGCCTGGGGGACTCAGTCAGTTAAACGTCCGACTCTTGATTTTGACTCAGGTCATGATCTCATGGTTCGGGAGTTCGAGTTCCACGTCCAGCTCTGTGCTGACCGTGCCTTCTTAGGCAGAGCCTTCTTAAGGATTCTCTCTCTCCCTCTCTCTCAAAAGAAATAAACTTAAAAAAATAAAATAATTTTATACATTTATTGTCAAATTTGATTAATAACATTTATGGATATTAATATACTTTTAATATTGTTTTTTTTAATTTTTTTTTCAACGTTTATTTATTTTTGGGACAGAGAGAGACAGAGCATGAACGGGGGAGGGTCAGAGAGAGAGGGAGACACAGAATCCGAAGCAGGCTCCAGGCTCTGAGCCATCAGCCCAGAGCCTGACGCGGGGCTCGAACTCACGGACTGTGAGATCGTGACCTGGCTGAAGTCGGACGCTTAACCGACTGCGCCACCCAGGCGCCCCTAATATTGTTAATTAGTAGCTAACTGATTCTCACAGAACGCTTTTGGTGATTTTTGCCAGACTCTTGCCTCTGTAAACTTGTGGTTGCTATTGATGAGCAAGCGTAGTTCTTTTTTTTTTTTTTTTTTTAAGTAGGCTTCATGCCCAGCACGGAGCCTGGCTTGGAGCCTGACGCTGAGCCCAACGAAGGGCCAAGAAAGGGCCCAACTTGGGCCCAACGTGAGGCTGGTCCTCTCACCGCCCTGAGATCAAGACCTGAGCCGAGATCAAGAGGGGGACGCTTCACTGGCTGAGCCCCCCGGGCGCCCCAGCGGTTCTGACGTGAATATTGGTTGATCTTTTCGTTTCTGTGTGAGACAACAAAGACCTATGTCACAACTTCATTAATTCATCCTCGAGGAGACCGACGTCTTTCACGAGTAGGATACTGGCTTTCAGATACTAGAAGATGATTTCCTCATTATCTGGTATCATTCGCAATGTGACAGTTGCAGGCTTGACTCACTGTTGAGTTTGATCTGCATGATTAACATTTTCCCCCTCACTTTCTCCGGTCTAGAAAATCAACAACAACAACAATGAATCGAAGCCTGATTAAGAGCATTTACCGATCTCTGCATTACGAGTACCCAGCGCATGGCTGATTGCAAGTCGCCAGCCTCACCGTGACCTTGGGAAGAGATGTGCAACTGCCCACTGTCATACGGTATTTCAGCCGCCCGGATGTGGGAGATTGTCACCTCACGTGTACGGGTCACAGTAAAATAGAGTAAAAATGGTTAGGGAGTGATGAGTTTGTGACTATTTATTACCTAGTTTTTAAATTTTTTTTTTAACGTTTTTATTTATTTTTTGAGACAGAGAGAGAGCATGAGCAGGGGAGGGGCAGAGAGAGAGGGAGACACAGCATCGGAAGCAGGCTCCAGGCTCTGAGCCATCAGCCCAGAGCCCGACGCGGGGCTCGAACTCACAGACCGCGAGATCGTGACCCGAGCTGAAGTCGGACGCTTAACCGACCGAGCCCCCCAGGCGCCCCTATTACCTATATTTCTTTATAACCTTAACAACCAGCTCACATTTGTGACAAGGTGGCATTTGGCTCTCATGGGCCAGGAGGAGCCAGCTCTCTGGGCCTGGCTAGATTTCCAGGTCCTGAATGACCCTTATCCCTTCTCCCACTCCCCTCTGCCATTAATTCGAGGACCTCCCAGCCCACCGCCACTGCTGGGGAGCTCCCGGGTTCCAGAGCTAACCCTAGCGGCCACCTTGAATGAAGGCACTGGAGAGAGTGACAACGGTGGCTTTTCCATGGCTGGGTGGCCTCTCTGCCTGGAAAAAAAAAAAAAAAGCAAAGGTGGAAGACAGCCAGGGACACTCACGGTGACTCCGGAAGGCACATCTGGCAAGCACTCAAGACTAAGAGGAAAAGGAGGGATGAAGCGGTGAGGGCAGGGGAGCTCGGGCTCAGCCCTCTGTCCATTTGGCTCTACTCCTAGGCTGTAATTTATTGCTGAAGACTTTCCAGAAAGGCTGGTGACGCTGGACACGAGGCGGGGTCGGGGGGGGGGGGGGGCCAACCCTTCCCTCCTGCCTCCAGGATGTCAGCCAGAGCCTGCGGGTGGTCTCCTGTCTGCTCTTGGAGTCTACATCCGGGGCCCATTCGTCTTTCGGCAGGAGACGGTGGCAGTGACTTTGGGGCTGTTGTGGAATATGACTCCCTCTGGGGAAAGCCCGCCCTGCGTTCTGGGCCATCCTCTGCGCGCTGGCCACGGATCAACCCTGTTTCTTTCCAGGTGCCTCTGCTCTCCAGGCCACCGCCCAGGCAACTTATCAGGTCCGACGGCTCCGTACAGTTGGGCCATGCTGGGATGAACCGCGCGAATGGGGACCCTGTGTTTGCACCTAGGCTGGCAGCTGCCCAAGGGCCCGGGCCCCAGCCCCACCCCGCCCCGCGCTCAGTACAAGGACCAGCCCGCGGGGACCGAATGAATCAATGAGTACAAGCCTGGCGGACATTCAAGATTTCTCCCTGGTGAAACAGAAGCACAGTGTGGAGGCCTGTGTGGAAACACTCATTTTCCCAGCGTGTACAAGGAGCGCCCTTGATTGTTGCGGACGCTTGGTGGCGGGGGCGGGGAGGGCAAACCCCGCCCCCCACCCCCGCCCCCGCCCCCGCCCCCACGCACACACAGGTTCTCACCGGCTAGCTGTTCTGTAACCGGGAAGTTCAGATGCCAACTGTTTTCCTTCCAGCCTAACAGGAAAGTCACCTTCACCCCCACCTCCCCGTGTGCGGCTCCCCCCGCCCCCCACCAAGGAAGCTGCTGGCCGAAGTCCTGACTGGGAGCGATTGCTCCTTCTTGGCACCGGCCCGAGAACATCCTGTGCATCGGAGAGGCCGGGTGCCGCCATTCCCTGTCCTACGCGGGATGGGAAGTGACCAGACGGAGGACGCAGACATCGCCGGCTCAGTACACTCGCAGCCGGGAGGGATCCAACTGGACAGGTTTACAAGCGGTCTGCTCCACGCCCAGCACCCCCACCCCCGTGCCCTGGCCAGCACGCGCACCGGCATCCACACGCGTCCTCCAGCAAACGCCTTCGGACAACCCCGTTCACAGGCTGACAAGGGGGCATCGTAAAGTCCCTGCTCAGGGAGGGTCCATGCCTGTCCTCTCCAAGGAGCACATCCACACCTTCTGTTAACGTGCCCTGGGATGCCGGCCCCTGTGAGTGTACCAGCTTGGAAGTTCTGGCGTCCGTGTTGTGTGTGTGTGTGTGTGCGTGTGTGCGTGTGTGTTAAGCATCTGATTCTTGATCTCTGGGCTCAGGTCATGATCTCCCAGTTGGTGAGTTTGAGCCCCGCCTCGGGCTCCGCGCTGACAGGGTGGAACCTGCTTGGGATTCCCTCTCCCCCCACCTCTCTGCCCCTCCCTTGCGCACTTGTGCGCGCGCGCGCGCGCACACACACACACACACACTCCCTCAAGATAAATAGGGGGCGCCTGAGCGGCTCAGTCGGTTAAGCGTCCGACTTCGGCTCAGGTCATGATCTCACGGTTCCTGAGTTGGGAGGCCCACGTGGGGCTCCGGGCTGACAGCTCGGAGCCCGGAGCCCGCTTCGGATTCTGGGTCTCCCTCTGCCCCACCGCCGCTTGCACTCTGTCTCTCGCATTGTCTCAAAAATAAATAGACGTTAAAAAAAATAAATTCGAAATAAGTAAATAAACATTAAAAAAAATATTAAAACTTTGTTTCTAGACCAGACTTCGCTCCTGTGCTCCAGACCCCCCAGTCCACGTGGCACCTGGATGCCCCACAGGCGGCTGAAATTTCACGTGGCCTATGCTTATCGTCCTCTCCTTCCCCCTCAAGCCCACAGTCCGTCCTGTCCCACGATCCCTTCCTCAAGAAATAGCACTGCCCCTCACCTACTTGGCCAGTCGGGAAAGCCGGGCCCTCCCTCACCCCTCACCTCCACACCGTCCCGGGTCACCGAGTCAGACCTGCTCTGTCCTGCACATTTTTGCGTCACCAAGCCAGCTGTGCTCCCTGTCAAGACGTTAGGTCAGGCCACCGTCTCCTCGAGGTGCAGCCCTACTGCACTGTCCTCAGCCCTGTCCTTGAACCAGCCCCGAATGATGTGCCCAGAGCAGCAGGGAGAAGGCCCACCTGCCCAAACGCATCTTTCCCTCCAGGCTGTAGGTGCCCAAAGGTCCCCGTACTTCAGTCAGTTCTCGGGACATGTGCTGGCATATTAGCTAGCTCCCCCTTGAGCTTCTCCGATTTGTCCTCCTGGCATCGAATTTTCCTGGGCAAAAAGGAAGGAATGTGAGGTGAGAAGTCAGTTTTGACGCCAATGAGGAAGTCAGGGGAAGTCCCCGAGTGGGGTAATGTGCCTAGAGGGGATTCCCAGGATTTGAGGAAAGTGGCTTCCAGAAAAGATGGGGAGTGGGTCCTGAAGGGACCGCCCAGAAGAGTGTCCAGAGGAAGGCATTATTAGCCTGGGGAAGGGAGGGTCTCAAGTGGCCTGACGGCTGGATGGAAGCTTCCTTCTCAGGGTCTCTCGGGGGTAGAGCCATCGACGACTTCCCAGAGGGAGAGCGCTCACATCTCCCAGGATGTGGTCTGGGCTTCCTTCCAGAAGGGAGGCAGAAACCGGAAACGGGGGAGAGGCCACTAGGAGTGGAGCTGTAGAAGTAGCTCCCGGTCTTCCCTCTGAGACCTCTGACCCGAAGAGACGACAGAGCCCCGCGTTTCTGCTGTGGGCGGGTGGGTTCTGACCCTCCCCGGACCCTGAAGGAGGCTTCTTGGCCTTCCGTGGTAATTCTTCACAAGACACCAGTCTCTCTTCCCCACCCCCGTCCTGTCGCCCTCCGGAGAGTCCCTCCACAGTCCCCCTCCACAGTCCTGCAAGCCCGCGCCCTCCAATGGCCCCATTCACCTTTGTCCCTCCAGCGTGAAGTGTGCCCCCCAAACATAACAGGGGCTCAGAAAGTTACCCCCATGCCGCTCCCTGTTCAGCCCGCAACGGGCCGGTCTTCCCTCCATTGTCACTCTTCCTCGGAAGCCAATCCCTCTCCCGGGAACTCGTTGGGCTAACACCTTTGACGTCTCTCAGCCCTGCGGCCCTGTGACTCACTGTAGGTGACATTGCTTCCAGACCCGTAAGCTACCCACGCTGCGAATTACGAAACGAACCGTGAGTCAACGTGGTGGCGTGAGGTCTTTTTTTTTTTCCCTACGTATACGGGTTGTGTATTTCTCGTTGTGCTCGGGATGAAAGTAAGTCCAGAGTCCTGTGGTACTTGGCAAGCCTCTTCAAGATCCGGCTGCTGCTAACTGGGGAGACGCTGGTCAAAGGGTAGAAATTTGCGCGTGTAAGTTCTAGACATCTGAGGTACAGCGCGGTGATTACAGTTAATCAGACCGTATTATGTACTGGAAAGTTGCTAGGAGACTCGGTCTTAAATGTTCGCAGCACAAAAAAGAAATGGCGAGCCCGCCTGAGGACGGAAATACCAGCTAACACTATGGCGGGAATCGTTTTGCAACAGACAAGTGTATCAAACCATCTGGTCCCACCGGCTTCAAAAGATACAATGTTGCCTGTGAATGACAGCTCAGGAAAGCTGAGAAAACAAAGATCTGGCGGCTCTTTTCACCTCTCACTGCTCCCCCCAACCCCCACTCTTGTGTACCTGACACCTGGTCATCATCTTGTAACTTTTTCTTTGGAAAGAACTTCCAATTTAGAAAACCTTTGGACAAAGGAAAAAGAGGGCCAAAAGCACGTGTATACCCTTTACCCAGATTCGCCTCTTGGTAACCTTGTATCCTATTTATCATTTGGGTTCTCTCTCCACACACACGTACGTGCGCACACAGGCACACGTTATGTACATACGTTACACACACGCACACACATACACGCCTTATATGAACACATTCTGTATATCCACTTTGTACACTCTTTTCTGAGCCATGGGAGGGTAAGTTGTATACACCATGATCCTTTAACCCTACACTTCAGTGAATTAATTTCCTCAGCGTAGAGATGTCCTCTCCAAGGCCATGGCACTATCAGTTTCTCACATCGGACAGTGTTCCAATACTTTAGTCTGAGGTCCATATGGCAGTTTTATCAAGTGACACATTGATGTCCCTTAGAACATGTCTTCCCTTCTGTACTACTCTAGAGTCATGTATTGCGCTGAGTTGTTCTATTTAGCTCCCATTAATCCGGAACATTCCACAGCGTCGTCGGGTCTTTTATGACCTTGCTATTTTTGGAGAAATCACTTCCCCATCTTGCCAATTTGCTTTTTGCTTTCCTGCCAACGTTTCATTTCATTTTATTTTATTTTACTTTTTTTCTGCCAAAAATTTTGAAAGCTTTTTAAAAACTTTTTAAGTTTATTTATTTATTTTTGAGAGAGAGCACACATGAGAGCAGGGGAGGGGCAGAGAGAGAGAGAGAGGGAGAGAGAGAATCCTAAGCAGGCTCCACCCTGTCATCATGGAGCCCGATGTGGGGCTTGAACTCACACACCGTGAGATCATGACCTGAGCCGAAACCAAGAGTCGGACACTTAACCGACTGAGCCACCCGGGCGCCCTTCCTGCCAACATTTTAAAGCAGAATGCTCTTCACGCTGTGTTTGCCTGGTGTTTCCTCATGATTGGAGTGGGGGTCCACGTCTCTGCTGGCACACCACGTAGGTGATCTGGTGCCCGATCTGGGGACACTCAGTGTATATCTGTCTCTCATTAGTGATGCTAATTTTGATTACTAGTTCAAGGGGGTGCGCAAGTTCTAACGGCTACTTTTTTTCTTCTCCCTTGCATATAATGAACAGTCTGTGGGGAGACACTTTAACACCGTCAAATATCCTGCTTCTCGTTGAGATCCCCACTGCATTTATAGTGGCAAAATGACAAGATTCGGACTTCACTGATTGGCCCTTGCACTGTAGCTATGTTTAAAAAAAATTTTTTTTAATGTTTATTTATTTTTGAGACAGAGGGAGACAGAGCACGAGTGGGGGCAGGGCAGAGAGGGAGGGAGACCCAGAATCTGAAGCAGGCTCCAGGCCCTGAGCTGTCAGCCCAGAGCCCGATGCGGGGCTCGAACCCACAAACCGCGAGATCTTGACCTCAGCCAAAGGCAGACGCTTAACGAACTGAGCCACCCAGGCACCCCTGTAGCTATGTTTTTATACCTAATGTATTATATTTGTTGTATATTATATTAATTTAATTATTTATGTTGCACTGTTGCTAATTTGAGCCTCTCTCGCTTTGCCGCGCCGCGTCTGCTGAGTGCTCTTGGCTGACTCCCTCAGCCTGGGCTGCCACAAACGCTGCCCAACTCCAGGGGGCGCCGTTCACAGTGCAACCGAGCCAAGTGGCAGCTGTGGGTCTTGGTTTAGAGGAAGCTTCCTCCTGGAAGCTTTCCCAGATTCCCCAAGTGCCGACTAGGCATTCATGCCCTTTGCTCCCCACGCTCTGTCTGCGGAGCCCTATCAACGCCCTGGTCACACTATGTTGTGATGGTCTTACTTCCCTACCTCCCTCGTTGGGATATAAGCTCCTTAAGGGCCAGCCTTTTCCTCTTCCTGTTCTCTGCTGTGCCCCGCCCCGATTGTGCATTCAGCAGATGTCAAATCAGTAAATGAGTTTGGTCTCGTGTTAAGAGTTAGAGAGTTAGATAGAGATACAGATATGGATAGATAGTTATAGCTAGCTAGCTGGCTTCTCTGGGAGAGGACAAAGCCCTTAAGGACAAGAGCCACACTTATCTCTGTACCCTCTCCCCCTGCCCTTGATACTTGGCACAGGGCCGTGTTCATAACAGGCACTCAGCAAAGTTTGGCTGAATGAGTCCGTGGCTGTATATCGGTTGATAAGGATACGCTTCCTCCCGCCTTCCAGAGAACTGCACTAAACTCTGGGTGACCCTTGGGGAGCAGGTGGTGCGCCCTTTGAACCCCCGCTGCTCTGGCACAGTTGGGCCCCGCCCTGCCTGAGCACAAAGACACAGGAAATGTAGGTGTATACGCGGTCAGGGTCATTAGACTTCCCCTTACTGAGGGATGCCAGCATCTGAGTGAGTCTCCGAGGGTGACCGAGGGCTGTCCGGGACCCAGCCTTGAGGTCCTGAAGCCTTCCTAGATGACGGGCCCTGGCACTTCCCACGGAACTCTCCAGGAGCCCCCCCGGCCGAGCTGACTCCGGAAGCCTTTCTGGCGCCAGGTCACTTGGAAGGCACACCGCTTGTGTTGGGATAAGACAGAAACAAGAGGCTTGGAGACAAGTCCTAGGAGGAGCCCGGGGCCGATAAGCCAGCCCCTTGAAGAGCACAGGGCACCTCTGTTGTCTGGAGCCCGGCTTGCCAACCTGGCAGAATGAACTCTGACACCCACCGACCCGGTCCTGGATTCCAGGCTGTGTCTTGCTCTGCAGCCCCTCGGGGCAGAGGCCTGTTGCCATGGCAACACGCACCTCTTCGGGGAGGCTGAGAGCTCAGCCCAGCTCAGCAACCAGAGCTACCCCTCCCAGAAGGCGCTGGCTGGGGACACTCCTGGGAGGGCTCTTCTAAGCCCTCTAGAGATGGAGGGGGGGCCCCCGGGGCAGCCCCAGGCAAAAGTCGGTGTCATGGGACCTTAGCTAGCACAATCTTGCCCTTTTTTTTTTTTTCAGTTTGTTTATTTCCAGACAAGAGAGAGCACGCGTGGGGGAGGGGCAGAGAGAGGGAAATTGAGAGAGAGAGAATCTCAAGCAGGCTCCGCACTGGCCACGCAGAGCCCGACGCGGGGCTTGAACTCACGAACTATGGGATCATGACCTGAGCTGAAGTCGGACGCTTCACTGACTGAGCCACCCAGGTGCCCCATCATAATCCTGCCTTTATTATTTTTTGAAATCTTTTTAATGTTTATTTGTTTTTGAGAGAGAGGGAGAGAGAAACAGAGCATGAGTGGGGGAGGGGCAGAGAGAGGGAGAGGGAGACACAGAATCCGAAGCAGGCTCCAGGCTCCGAGCTGTCAGCACAGAGCCCGACGCGGGGCGCAAACTCACAGACCGCGAGATCATGAACTGAGCCGAAGTCGGACGCGTAACCGACGGAGCCACCCAGGCGCCCCCACAATCCTGCCTTTACACAGGACTTTGCGTCTACATAGAGGCTATTCTTCAGGCTTCCCTCTCTGTCAGAGACCATACACCATGGCATTCAGCTTTTCCCTGTAGGAAAAAAATGCACCAACGGACCCCAGATCCATATGTGGAAGCCTTGAAACTTACAGCCAGGGAGGGGGAAATGGATCGAACACAGGGACCGCGAACATGAAAATTTTAATTTGTATTTCAAAAGCACTTCTATAGCATTTACCATACGCCAGGCCCTATTTTAAATGCCTTGCAATCTGTTTACTCCTTAAATTCTCATAACAACCCTTTAAAGGAAGGCCAGTTATCAGCCCCATTTTATAGTTGAAGAAACTGAGGCACAGAGAGGTTAAATGACTTGCTTAAGGTCACACAGCTAATAAACGGCAGAGTCACTCCCGCCCAGGTAGCGTGAACCCCAGACTCTGTTCTCTTGGCTATTCAGTCCTGCTGCCCTCCTTGGGTATACGATCCCCGTGAGAACAGCAGGACAAGGAGTGACCTGTCCACTCCCCCTTTTCCTTTCTTCCTTAGGCCCTTTTATATGGACCAGGTGCAAGGGTCCAGCCTGTCCCCTAGTCACACCAGAGACACAGAGAGGGAGAAGGAGAATGAGGACACTGGATGCGTGGATGCTTCTGGCAAAGTCAGCTCTGGCAGGGGCTGAGCCATACCTCAAGGAGTCAGAAACTCTTGCGTTTTCGGGGTGCCTGGGGGGCTCAGTCCGTTAAGCGTCCGACTTCGGTTCAGGTCATGATCTCACGGTTCCTGGGTTCGAGCCCCGCATCGGGTGAGCTCGAGCCACTCCGCGCTCCGCACTCTCTCCCCCTCTCTGCACCTTGTGGGATTCTCTCTCTCGGTCACTTGCGCTCGCTCTCATAAATAAATAAATAAATAAACACGTAAGTAAATAAATAAAAAGAAACCTCTGCGTTTTATTTCCTGAGCCAAAATTCTGAGCTGAGTGTGCCTGGAGACAACCCAAAGATGAACATGGAATCAAAATGCTTTGAACCCTGGTCTCAGGCAAGAACCACCACCAAAGAGCCGTCAGAACGAACCTTTTTGGCTTGACGCCGAACGGAGCCTGGAAGAGAAAGCACGTCAGGGTAGATAACAAGCTGTTTACAGTGAGCAAGGCCCTGGTGGCCTCTTTATAAATCTTTGTCCCGGGAGAGTACGGCCAGAGCCGCAAGCCCCAACAGGTAATGCGCCGACACGCCTGCAGAAATATCAACTAGACGTGTGGACGCCCAGGGCTGGGCTGAGGGCAGGAAACCTTGGGGCGGACATCACCAGACTTTCTTTCAAGGGAGATGCATTAAAAAAAAAAAAAAAAAAGAGTGGGGAGGGGATGCGTTTGGCACTCTGCTGAGCCCAGGAAA